TTGCCCTTGCTGCACTTCTTAGCTGAAACCTGTGAGCTGCAGTATCCTGATGTGTTGAAGTTCCCAGATGAACTCATCCATGTGGAGAAGGCGTGTCAAGGTATCCCGGGGAGGAGTGTGGGGGTGTGCCATGTGGAGAAGGCGTGTCAAGGTATCCTGGGGAGGAGTGTGTGTGTGTGGGGGGTGTTGAGGGTGTACAAGATTCTTCCCAGGGGGTAAAGGTGGGTAATTTGAGAAGTAACAGGTGTTCCTGAGGGCAGGGTGAAGGCTGGTAATTGGCTTGGGCCAGAACCAGGCTTGCTGGTGGTTTGTGCAGAAGTAGGCAGCCCAAGTCTCCTTCTGGCCCGCATGCAGCTAACCAGAAGTGGGGGGCAGAAAAGACATCTCCGAGCCAAATGGTAGAAAAAATTCAGCACGCTGGGTCTGTCCTTGGTTCCTTCCACTGTCTCTGTTGCCTTTACCATAAGGGAGGCTGGCTGCGTGAATCAAGGAAGCCTCCGACATGGAGGAGGGAAGAGGCAGACATCAGAATGGTGGCTGCCTTCAGTTGCAAGCTCCCTGCAGAGGGCGCTCTTCCAGACCCTTTCTGGCTTGGGCCAGAACCAGGCTTGCTGGTGGTTTGTGCAGAAGTAGGCAGTCCAAGTCTCCTTCTGGCCCGCATGCAGCTAACCAGAAGTGGGGGGAGAAAAGACACCTCCGAGCCAAATGGCAGAAAAAATTCAGCACACTGGGTCTGTCCTTGGCTCCTTCCACCGTCTCCGTTGCCTTTCCCATAAGGGAGGCTGGCTGCGTGAATCAAGGAAGCCTCCGACATGGAGGAGGGAAGAGGCAGACATCAGAATGGTGGCTGCCTTCAGTTGCAAGCTCCCTGCAGAGGGCGCTCTTCCAGACCCTTTCCTCGTCAGAAATCAGGGTGCCGGAGAATGCTCCCTCTAAGCTGTGGAGTCTTGTTAGCAAAAATTCTACACTGTGAGCTCCTGGCCTTAAAGTTGTGAGCGAGCAATTTGGCTTGTGCATCAGTTAGTTTGCTCTGGAGCCACCCTTCCTGAGCTAAGACAAAAATCTGTGGGCTGAAAGCTCACACTGACTCATCTTAGAGGGAACACTGGTGCTGGAGATAGCGGATTGCCCACCAAACAGCCAGCCAGGGATCCTGCTGTCTCCAGACAGAGCCAGTTTGGTGTAGTGGTTAAGTGTGTGGACTGTAAGCTGGGAGAACCGGGTTTGATTCCCCACTCCTCCACTTGCACCTGCTGATGCGACCTTGGGTCAGTCACAAGCTCTGGCACAGCAGTTCCTGAAAGAGCAGTTTGTGTCAGAGTTCTCTCAGCCCCTCCCACCTCACAAGGTGTCTGTTGTGGGGAGGGGAAGGGAAAGGAGTTTGTAAGCCGCTCTGAGACTCCAAGTAAAGGGCGGGGTATAAATCCCATCTCCTCCTCTCCTCCTCCTCATTAGTCACTAGCCCTCCTTGGACTGCCTAGCAATTAAGTATTCATTCATTCATTCATTCATTCATTCATTCATTCATTCATTCATTTATTCTGTTTCTATTCCGCCCTCCCCAGAAGTGGGCTCGGGGCGGATCACAGAGCCAGTCGGCACCACATGAATCATGAGATTAATACAGTTAAGAACAATAATTTAAAAACAGATTGCCCTCTTTGTGCACACAATCTCCAGAGCTGGAGTTGTCAGGTCTCTGGGGTCTACTTGGTCTGGGTCAGAACAATCAGTCCGTGGAATGGGGAGGCCCGTCCAGTGGGATTCTGCGTGGTTTTTATGCCGAGCAGATGCAGCATAGCTGGTTAAGAGGCTGTGCTCTGAATTGGGGAGTCCCTGGTGTGAATCTTGCTTGCGCCACTGACTTGCGAGGTGGCTTTGGAGAGCCTAATCAGTGCGCAGCGCCCCCCCCCCCCCCCCCCTGGCTACATTAGGGGTGTGTGGCCTAATATGCAAAGGCGTTCCTGCTACAAAAAAGAGCCCTCTATCTATCTACCCATCTATCCATCTATCTATCTATCTGGGCTCTTTTTTGTAGCAGGAACGCCTTTGCATATTAGGCCACACACCCCTAATGTAGCCAATCCTCCCAGAGCTTACAGAGCTCTTCTTACAGGGCCTCCTGTAAGCTCTTGGAGGATTGGCTGCATTAGGGGGTGTGTCGCCTAATATGCAAAGGAGTTCCTTCTACAAAAAGAGCCCTGATTAATGATTTTTTAAATCTTGCGTTTGCTTTGGGCACTCTCAATAACAGGGATCTGATTCCTCCTTCTTATGAAGGGTGGTGGTGGTAGGTGTTTGCTAGGCAGAAAGAGAGTTGCAGTTCCGGCCAGTGTTCCCTCTAAGCTGAGTTAGTGTGAGCCAGCTCACAGTTTTTTAGCCTCCAGCTCACAGATTTCTGTCTTCGCTCAGGAAGGATGGGGCTCCAGAGCAAGCTAATTTATGCAGCAGCCCAATCGCTGGCTCACCACTTTAATGCCAGTAGCTCACAAAGCAGAATTCTTGCTCACAAGACTCCACAGCTTAAAGGGAACATTGGTTCCGGCCCCTTTGTCCGGAGGGGATGCCAGGAGGTCAGGCAGCGACTCTGCTGCGGCTACAGAAATCTGCCCTGTGGTTTTAGCTCCACGACTGTAACCAGAGCGTCACCCACTTTATCCGTGTTCTCTTCCCACCCACCCCACCCACCCCAGTTTCTGGTGAGAATCTGCGGAAAAATCTGGACCAGATGAAGAAGCAGATTTCGGACCTGCGGCGAGACGTTAGCGACTTCCCCAGTGCCACAGAGGAGAAGGATAAATTTGTGGAGAAAATGACGATATCCTTTTGAGAAAAAAAGTTGAACTAGGAAACCCTGATTAGCGCCTTGCAGAAGAAGGGATCCAAAGGGTGGTAGAGATTCATTTGAGCTCTGTGGGATCCTTGGCTCTCCTGTGAGCTGCGCATCCCATTCGCTCACGTGTTACTGTCATGGGCGAGTAAACGCCCAGTTTCCTGCAGCCAGGTACATTGCTGCCACTTTTGTGGCTTGGCTGTGATTGCATCATGAATCTCTGGGGAATCCCAGTTTTCAGTTTATGACAGCAATTTCTTTCACTATGGCTCGTAGTAAATGACAGCGGTTACGTTTTGTTGAAGCTGTCTGTACCTAGCGGAAGAGGCCTCTTCCTATCCACAGGATAATGCCAGCCGTAAAGATCCTTGACACGTGCTGTGGCCAGTTCTGGGCCCAGATTCTGTTACTGTTTTATAGCCTTTTCTTCCTCCAAAGACCTCACAGTGGTTGCCAGGGAGACCCCAGTCAGCCTTCCCTCTAGACAGCTTGTTGGGCCAAATCTACTTTTAGTCGCTCTATGTGCCTTCAGGTTATTGGCTGGCCACTGAGATGGGCCAGATGTACAAGAGGAGTCTCTGTAGGAGTTTGCAAATGGAAACCGGAGAAGCTTCCTGAGTACATGGTAGGAGGAGGGCTGAAGAGCTGCCTGTGTTCAGTACATGCATGTCTAGTGAGCAGATGACTGGCTTTCCTGGGCTCTAACGTAGATCATGAGGACAGCCTGGGACTGCAGATTTCCTGGTTTGGGAAGACGGGAGGTGAGAAAAGAAAGACCGCTGGCCTGGAAGCCAGTGTTCCGAGTGCTACTCTTGAGCAGAAGACTCTGGGACTCTGGGGCATGCTGAGCTGTGGGTCACTGCAGCCGGGGGGGGGGCACTTGGGCTGCCCAGGGGGAATCTGTTGAGCCAGACGGAGGGCCCCGGGGGAGTCACTTTGGTCATCGCCTCTGCTCCGCAACCACCTGTGGCCTTTGACTCGCACCCCACAGCTTCGTCAAGGAGGCCGAAGAGCAGTACGAGAAGCTGCGGATGATGCACTCCAACATGGAGAGCCTCTATAAAGAGCTAGGCCAGTACTTCCTTTTTGATGCCAATAAGATATTGATTGAGGAGTTCTTCAGTAATCTGCACAACTTCCGAAACATGTTTCTGGTGAGTGTCTCTCCCGCTCCCCCGGGCCTGCCTCTCGATTGCAACACACGGCCCTCTGTCCACCAAGCCCGGCGTGTCGCTTCCAGTGGCGGGCAGCCAGGTTCATTCAGAAGCTTGTGAGCAGCGCATGATGGGAGAATGCTTCCCCCTTGTGCACGTGCTCTGTCAGTCCCTTATTCCCGGCCCCTAGGCCTGGCTGGGAACATCCCTGCCCCTGTTGGGCCTTTGGAGGGATGCCTTTTTTCAAAGAGGGTGGCCCTGCCCGCCCCGGAGCCGCTGTTGTTGAGTTGCTGCATCTTCGTTTCAGCAAGCCTTAAAGGAGAACCAGAAGCGACGTGAGACGGAGGAGAAGATGCGGCGGGCTAAGCTGGCCAAAGAAAAGGCAGAAAAGGAGCGGCAGGAGAAGCAACAGAAGAGAGAGCAGCTGATCGACATGAATGCAGGTACCGTAGAACAGTTGGCTGGTCAGACTAGGGAGGAGGCCTCCGTGCCGATCGGGAAAGAGCTGGACCCGTGCATGTGAAAGGGCACTCACAGATCCTGACTTTCTAGCAGTGGAGGTGGAATGATGTTCTAGCTGTGTGAACTTTTGTCTCAGAGGCACCAAGGGCCAGGCAGGGTGGCCTTGAAGGAGCCCTGCTGGACTAGGCTTAGGGTTGCCAAACCCCCCGGTTTGCCAGGGGTCCCCCGTTTTGGGGGGGTTCTACCCGCCGCCAGCCAGATGGCCGGCGGGGGAAGCCCCACACCCACAGCCACCCCTCTCTCTCCCTTTAAGTGTGTGGAACCTGTGTTTCCTCCCAAGCCCGATCATCTTGCAAGCTTGCAGGGAAATGCCAGCTTCATGCTCTTAAAAGGGAAACGCAGCTGCTCTTAAAGGGGAAACGCCGGCTCCTACATTTAAAGGGGAAACGCTGGCTCCTTTAAGTGCAGGGAACTGCTGTTTCTGGAGATCCGGCGCATGGGCAGGTGGGGGGGACGGCAGACGTTCCCTACGTGACGTCATCACGTCGGGGATGCCCCGCCCCCTCCGGGAACACCCCCAAAGTCCCCCGCTGGGGGTGGAAGATGGACTTGGCAACCCTAAGTAGGCTGTGGGGGCGGGCTGGGCTTGACCGGAGTCAGAGAAGCCTCCAGGGAGTTTGCAAAAAAACCCAACAACCCCACACTTCTTAACAAGTGGTATGCAGAGACTCCGTTTAACTGGTTGGGTCTAAGAGCAGCGTTTCCCCCCACCCCTACCCCAGTACAGCTTTGCCTTCTCAGCATCGGGGTGGATGCTGCTCACTCTTTGCAGGGGAGGCCAGAGGACAGCCCCTTCAACCGAGGCAGCCTTTGCTAGTTGCTTTGGGGTGTTCGATTGAAAAACCAGTCAAAACGAGCTCACGGCAGCAGCTCTTGAACCTGGAGCCCAAGGGCCTCTTGGTCTATTCCGCTGCGATTCTGTCGCCCTTCCAGCACGGGTGGCAATTCAGGCATTGGCCAAGCTTCTAGACCAGTGGTGGCGAACCTCTGGCACGGGTGCCACTCAGAGCCCTCTCTATGGGCACGCGTGCCATCGCCCCAGCCAGGCCCAGACCATCAGTGTCGAATTCTCTGCCAAGTAATTTTAAGTAAATGAAAGCATTTGGGATTGCTTTCCTTACTTTGTTTGGATCATCTTAAGTTAATGTATGAGTTGTTTTTTCTAAAGTAAAAACTCAGTATTCAGGTTAAATTGCCGTGTTGGCACTTTGCGTTAAATAAGTGGGTTTTGGGTTGCAGTTTGGGCACTCAGTCTGTCTCTAAAAGGTTCACCATCACTGTTCTAGACCAATTTCCAGGAAGACCTTCCAGCCAGACATCATTACATGGTTGTTGTTTTGGTTCTTCGTGGCTGTCTTGCCTGCGACTTCTTCTTTTGTTTTGAGACATAATTACTTGGCATTTACGTCGTGCACGCAAGCACTTTGGGGCCTTAGAACAGTCCTGCAAGGCGAGTCGGTCCCTCTGTTCCCACAGATGCAGAGCTCCCTTGAGACCACCTTATCGTCACAAGGCGAAGTGAGATGCGAATTAGGGGAGGGTTTCTCAGTTTGGAGCTCACTCGCCTAGCCACTTGCACAGTTCCTCCTCTCTGGTTCCCTTGTGACACAGTCATGCACAGAAAGGAAATTCTGATGTAGGAATTAGCATGGATCCTCTGTGCTTGTTTCTGCACAAAAGTGTGTTCTGTGCTGGAATACTGTAGGAAAAGGCCCTGTTATGAGTCTGTCACGGTTAAGGACTTCCTTTCATCGTTTCCCCCGCCCTCCTTCTTTCTCCGTTAAGGGCACTTCATGTTTTCCTGTGACTCTTAAATCCTGCTCTTCTTGTGAACAGGCCTTCCTAGCCAAAGGCTTCTCTCTTTTATTTCCTCTAATGAAAAATATATCTCCTGCTTTTCTGATCCTGTTGCTAACGCTGGGTAACAGCTGCTCTGTGTCAGTCCAGCCCTCCCCCTGGGATGGTTCACGTTCTTTAAGTGGGCCACGGATCAGTCCACAGATGGAGCATTCTGTGCAGGAATTTCATATTGGATGGCAAATGCTCCTGTCTGGGCCTGCCTGGGAGGGGGCTCCCGTGACTTCTCGGGTACCTTTTCACTGTGCCTGTCGCTAGATGCACTTCCCAGGGGAGCACAGGAATGTTTCGCTGCAGTGGCTGAAAGTCTGGCTTGTTGAACGTTCCTTCCGATTTTGCTGTTCCCGCCGATTAGCAGCACCTTTCTGAACCTGGCTGATTCGCACCTTTTCTTTGTTGGAACAAATGTCTAACTTGGGAATGATTCAATTATGCAGATTTCAAGCTGACGTCTTTTAACTTCAAAATTCATCGAAATCCCTCCTTTCTGCAAATCTAGACGGTCTAGCTATGCCTCGATTTGTCGGGCTGAGTCCAGTTGGCCGCTATCTGGTGGCTGTCTGTTATCTCCAGGGGTTTGTGCAGATGCTGCTGATCCGGCCAGGGTCTTTTGTGGAGCCTCCTGCGTTCCCGATGCTGTTGTGGGGCTTTCTCCCCTCCCCCCCCACAGGCACAGCCTGCTATTTGCTACCAAATGCACTCCTTTGTTAGACCATATGGAGTCAATTATTGCCCCTGTCTGCTTATTTCCTGTCTCCCTCAATTTCCTGCCAGTTTATCCCCCCCCCTGCCTTTGAACAGCCCGCAGTTGTGCTGAGTGACATGACTTATAGGGGCCTCTCCTCGCATTCCTTCCCCCGCCCCCCACACCTCTGGCTTGACTTACTCTGGCAAAACAGGTACTGTGTGTAAAATGACTCTAGAGAAACACTTCTGTTCTAGCGCAGGACGCACATGAGGGAGAATGGAGGAATTCTCCCAGAACCATTTGCACTGTGGCCGCATTATTTTTTAGGCATTAGTGCTGCCAGCCGCAGATGTCTTTCGAGAGACTGGCTTGCGTTCACGTGCACGTTTTTCACAAACCTTTGGGAACGGAGGCCTTAAGGCCCTGTCAGAGGACAGGGGCAGGATGGGAGTAGCAGCCAGATCCAGGGAGGGAGAGGGGGCCTCTGGGTCATTAAGAACATAAGAGACGCCAATGTTGGATCAGGCCAAAGGCCCATCCAGTCCAACAGTCTGTCACACAGTGGCCAGAAATACCAGGTGCCATCAGGAGGTCCACCAGTGGGGCCAGGACATCAGAAGCCCTCCCACTGTTGACCCTCCCAAGCACCAAGAAGACAGAGCATCACTTGCCCCAGAGCCCCTATCTATACCTTGTGGCTAATAGCCACTGATGGACCTCTGCTTCATATGCTTATCTAATTCCCTTTTCAAGCCGTCCATGCTTGTAGCCGCCACCACTTCCTGTGGCAGTGAATTCCATGCGTTAATCACTCTTTGGGTGAAGAAGTACTTCCTCTTATCCATTCTAACCCGACCACTCAGCAGTTTCATGGAGTGCCCACGAGTTCTTGTATTGTGAGAAAGGGAGAAAAGTACCTCTTTCTCTACCTGCTCTATCCCATGCATAATCTTATAGACCTCGATCATGTCACCCCTCAGTCGTCGTTGGGAGGGGGCTGCTGCCTTCATGCTCCGCTCTTGGATTATGATGCTCCCCTGCTTGGAACTGGCAGCCATGGCTTCCCTGAGCCGGCTGCCAGCATTGAACTATGCGCCTCTGTTTCATAACTCACACAGGCGTCAGTGTCGCCGGTGATATTCATGCTCTTTCTGTGCATATAAACATTAAAAAAAAAAACGGTTGCTATTTATAATCCCCATCACTGACTTCCACCTGGCTTTTAGCACTGCCGCTTCCTCTTACATTTTCCCAACCTCTTCAGTAATTGAATTACTCCCCATTCCTTCCCCCCCCCCATCACAGCCAGGGTGACTCATTAGCCGATCACTTGCACTTCCCCTCCCCACTTGCCTTGCATGTTTATTATGGATCAGCCACGTGGCATAGCGATTCAGAGCAGCGGTCCCCAGCTTTGCTGAGCCTGTGGTCAGTTCGGGAGCTTGGGGGAACGTGGAGCGGGTGTCACCACAGAATGGCTGCTGTGGGGGGCTGCGGTCAGTCACAGAGTGTTGAGGGGTTCCAAGCCAAGTGTTCTTTTATGATGGAGACAGGAAGTCCCTCCACCAGTGTTCCCTCTAAGCTGAGTGAGTGTGAGCTAGCTCACAGTTTTTTAGCCTCCGGCTCACACATTTTTTGTCTCGGCTCAGGAAGGAGGACTCCAGAGCAAACTTAATTTATGCAGCAGCCAAATCGCTCGCTCACAACTTCAATGCCGGTAGCTCACAAAAGTAGAATTTTTGCTCACGAGACTCCACGGCTTAGAGGGAGCATTGTCCTCCAACCCCAAGGGACTGCTCCTTGCAGGCCGAAGAGCCCTCCTGGGCTCTTCTGAAGCACCTCTTGCTCCAGTGAAGTAGAAGAGAGTCAGGACCGGCTCCTCATTTTGGGGGAGAAGGAAGTGGGTGCCAGGGAACACGGCAACAAGTGCCGCCGCCCCCACAGCCAACATCCGGTTGCTTCTCTGACTTCTGCAGCATCTCCGTCTGCCATTTTGATCACTCCCGTCTGTTTCAGTTGCAAGTCCAGCTGACTTTCTTATTAAATCTAACGAATGCCCATTTTATCCCAGAATTCCCTCCCCCTCAGTCCTCATGATAGAATAGACTCCGCCACAGCAAAATCCCTTGCAGGTAGAAGACGTTTCACATCTAGCCTCGTCCGGGAATAGCTGGACTTCTCCTTCAGTCACAGTGTTAGGCCAGCATCCAAAGAGGGAGCCTCTGAGAGGTTTGAGGGGTGAGCCAGTTTGGTGTAGTGGTTAAGTGTGCGGACTCTAATCTGGGAAAACTGGGTTTGATTCCCCACTCCTCCACTTGCACCTGGCTGGATGACCTTGGGCAAGCCGTAGTTCTGATAAGAGCTGTTCTTGAAAAA